GATTGTGCAGCCTGAGAAACAAGAGTGAAACTCCGTCTCAAAAAAAATAAAAAAGCTATGGTGGCTGGGTGCGGTGGCTCACGCCTGTAATCCCAATACTTTGGGAGGATCACTTGAGGTCAAGATCACTTGAGGTCAGGAGTTGGAGACCAGCCTGGCCAACATGGCGAAACCCCGTCTCTACTAAAAACACAAAAATTAGCCAGGCATAGTGGTGCACACCTGTAAGCCCAGCTACTCGGGAGGCTGAGGCACAAGAATGGCTTGAACCCAGGAGGTGGAGGTTGCAGTGAGCTGACATCAAGCAACTGTACTCCAGCCTAGGTAACAGAGACTCAGTCTTAAAAAAGAAAAAAAAAAGTTATAGTAATCAAGACAGTGTGGGATTGGTGAAAGAACAGACAAATATATAAATGGAACAAAACAGAGAGCTCAGAAATAGACCTACATAAATATTGTCAACTGATCTTTGATGAAAGAGCAAAGGCAATATAATGGAGAAAAGGTAGTCTTTCAACAAATGGTGCTGGAATAACTGCATCTCCACATGCTCAGAATGAAGCTGGATGCCCATCTTACTCCATATACACATATTAACTCAAAATGATCAAAGACCAGCCAGGCACAGTGGCTCATGCCTGTAATCTCAGCGTTTTGGGAGGCCAAGGCGGGTGGATCACTTGAAGTCAGGAGTTTGAGACTAGCCTGACGAACATGGTGAAACTCTGTCTTTACTAAAAATACAAAAATTAGCCAGGCGTGGTGGCACACACCTGTAATCTCAGCTACTGAAGAGGCTGAGGCAGGAGAATTGCTTGAACCCAGGAGCTGGAGGTTGCAGTGGGCCAAGATCATGTCACTGCACTTGAGCTTGGGCAACAGAGCAAGACTCTGGACTCTGTCTCAAAAATAAATAAATAAATAAATAAAATATCAAATACCTAAATATAAGAGCAAAAACTAAAATCATTAGGAGACAATACAGGGGTAAATTTCATGACCTCGGATTTGGCAATGGACTCTTCTTTTTTTTTTTTTTTTTTTTTTGAGACAGGATCTGGCTGTGTCAATCAGACTGAAAGGCAGTGGTGCAATCACAGCTCACTGTAGCCTTGACCTCCTGGGCTCTAGCAATCCTCCCACCTCAGCCACCCAAGTAGCTAGAACCACAGATACATGCCACCACATCCAGTTAATATTTTTTTCCCCTTAGAAATGAGGTCTCACTATATTGCCCTGGCTAGTCTCAAATTTCTGGGCTCAAGTGATCCTCCTGCCTCAGCCTCCCAAAGTGCTGAGATTACAGAAGTGAGCCACTGCACCTGGCCAATGGATTCTTAGATATGACATCAGAAGCAGAGGCAATAACAAACAAAAAACATACACTGATTTGGGAGGCCAAGGCAGGCGGATCATGAGGTCGAGAGTTCAAGACCAGCCTGGCCAACATGGTGAAACCCCATCTCTACTAAAAATACAAAAAATTAGCCAGGTATAGTGGCGGGCACCTGTAATCCCAGCTGCTCAGGAGGCTGAGGCAGGAGAATTACTTGTAGCCAGGAGGTAGAAGTTGCAGTGAGCCGAGACCATGCCACTGCACTCCAGCCTGGGCAACAGACCGAGACTCCGTCTCAAAAAAAAAAAAAAAAAAGATAAATTGAACTTTGCCAATATTGAAACCTGTTTGTGTGAAAGAACACTATCAAGACAGTGAAAAGACAATCTGCAGAAAGAGAGAAAATATCCGCAAATCATGTATCTAACAAGGGTTTAGTATGTAGAATATATAAAGAATGCTTATAACTCAACAAAAAGACAACCCAATTATTAAAAGGGCAAAGGGTGTTAACAGGCATTTCTCCAAATATATACAAATGGCCAAAAAGCACATAAAAATATACTCAACAGCTGGGCATGGTGGCGGGTACTTGTAGTCCCAGCTACTCAGGAGGTTGAGGCAGGAGAATGGCTTGAACCTGGGAGGTGGCGGTTGCAGTGAGCTGAGATTGTGCCACTGCACTCCAGCCTGGGCAACAGACCGAGACTCCGTCTCAAAAAAAAAAAAAAAAGATATATATATATATATATAAAATATATATACACACATGCATATATATACACACACATATATGTGTATATACATATATACACACATATATGTACCTATATATACATACACATATATACGTATATACTCAACAGGCTGAGGAAGAAGGATTGATTGAGCCCAAGAGTTTGAGCCCAGCCTGAGCAACATAGTGAGACCCTGTCTCATTAAAATAGAAAAAGATACTCAACATCATCAATCATTAGGGAAAATGCAAATGAAAACCACAATAAGGTACCATTTCACACCCACTAGGATGATTATAATGAAAAAAATCAGAGAATTAAGTGTCAGTGAGGATGCAGAGAAGTTGGAACCCTCATACTCTGCTGGTGGGAATGTAAAATGGGCAGCTGCAGTGGAAAAGAGACTGGTAGTTCCTCAAAACATAAACGAAACTGCCATATGACCCAGCAATTCCAATCCTAATATATATCCACAAGAAATGAAAAATGAAAATTTATGCCCACACAAAAACTAATCCATGAATGATCATAGGAGTACTATTCATAATAGCCAAAAGGTTAAAAAAAAAGTGTCCATCAACAGATGAATGGATAAACAAACTAGCATACACATACAATGCAACATTACTCAGCCATCAAAAGGACTGAGGTACTGGTCAACCGCGGTGGCTCACGCCTGTAATCCCAGCACTCTGGGAGGTTGAGGTGGGCAGATGATGAGGTCAGGAGTTAAAGATCAGCCTGACTAACATGGTGAAACCCCATCTCTACTAAAAATACAAAAATTACCCAGGTGTGGTGGCATGCACCTGTAATTCCAGCTACTTGGGAGGCTGAGGCAGGAGAATCGCTTGAACCCAGGAGGTTGCAGTGAGCTGAGATCGCACCACTGCACTCCAGTTTGGGCAACAGAGCAAGACTCTGTCTCGAACAACAACAATAACTCTGTCTCGAACAAAAACAAAAACCACTGAGATACTACATGCTACACCACAGATGAACCTTGAAAACTGCTAAGTGAAAGAAACCAGACACAAAAGGCCACATAGTGTGGCTGCCAAGGGACAGAAGGTGAAGGGATAAGGAATGATTGCTGAATGGGTACTAGGTGTTTTTCTGGGATGACAAAAATGTTCTGAAAATAGAGCTAAGTGGTGGTTACACAACATTGCGAATGCACTAAATGCCAGTGAATTCTATACTTTAAAATGATTGTTTGTGTATTACGTGATTTTTCATCTAAATTTTTTTAAAGCATGTATATCAGAGAAAAATTACCAAGTAAAGTTAATTCAGCCTTTGAACAAATGTTTGAAAAAGTTATTTGAAATGTTTACCTTCTAGAATTGAATCTGTTTCTTACAATTTAATCAAATGGACAAGAGGAGACCAGGTGATACAACTTCTTGAAGGACACGTGGGTGAACACAGGCCTGGCTGGGTTGGGAAAGTCAGCCACAAGAACACAGCCATGTAATGGTTTTATCTCAAATGCCCATTTATTTTATTTAATATACTAAGTCTACATATTAAAGTGCTATTCTTAATTTATAATATCCAATGACCTATGAGAAATACTTCTGAAATCAATAGCTTACTGTATGCAAGTTCTCCTCCATCCTTCAATACTGCTAGCCCACGGGCCCAGGATGGAGGGACCCTACACTTTCTTTCATTCCACAGGACTCAACAACAATCCAGCGAACAAAGGTATTCAACTGAAAAATAACTTTAAAAGGGCTTTTTTAGAAAAAAGGCTTTATTCCTACAAGTGATTTTGTTCTTTCCCTCTCCAATTGAGTGGCTTCTCCACAAAATACTGGTATATGAAATCCTCTCACCAACATACAATTTTAAGTATGCATTAGTGACACATCAGTTACTCCAGGTTACGTGTAACTCACTCTACTGACTCTCAAGGCTGCCCCTTTGGTACACCTCAGGTTGTATCAATTTTGCCAAATGTCAGCTTTAACATATACAAATAACTGACCTCTCAGGTGGATAAAATTCTGTTAATCAATTTCTGAGTTCCTCAAATAAGGGGCAGTAAACAACTACAAAGTTGTCTGCTAGTACTGTAAATATTCGCCAGTACTGTAAATGCCAGACTCAAAGATTAACATGTGATTGTCAATCTGGGTCTGGGGAAAACACTAGATCGCATTCCCCAGACCTGGATTGCTTTGGTCAAGAAATATGATTGAGGTCAGGCGCGGTGGCTCATGCCTATAATCCCAGCACTTTGGGAAGCTAAGGCGGGTGGGAGCCTCAGCAGTTCAAGACCGGCCTGGACAACATGGCAAAACTCTGTTTCTACTATTAAAAATAAAAATAAAAATAAAAATAAGAACAAGGCCTGGTGTGGTGGCTCACGCCTGTAATCCCAGCACTATGGGAGGCTGAGGCGGGTGGATCACCTGAAGTCAGGAGTTTGAGACCAGCCTGACCAACATGGTGAAACCCCATCTCTACTAAAAATACAAACATTAGCCAGGCATGGTGGTGCACGCCTGTAATCCCAGCTACTTGGGAGGCTGAGGCAGGAGAATCACTTGAATCCAGGAGGTGGAGGTTGTGGTGAGCCGAGATCACGCCACTGCACTCCAGCTCGGGCAACAAGAGCAAAACTGCATCTCAAAAGATAAATAAAAATAATAAAAAGAAATAAAATAAAGTGTAAGTAGAAGATAACTTAAGAAATATATCTGCCAATTATACAGTGGGATTGGAAAAAAGAAGAGAGTAAATTAAAATGTTTACTTAATAAATGGAGTTGACAGAACAATCTTAAAACACCAGTCCATGGAAGAAAAATAAGAGATATCACTGGGAACCACTGAAGTTCAAACTAGAATGCCTGGAACTCATCAGGGATACAATCCTTAGAAGTAGATCCAGAAAGAGGTTGTGAGATTCCCACCTACCTCTTCGCCGATGCTGGAGACTTGGCCACGATTACTGCATTCCTGTAATCTGGGATCTGTGACAGACAAGAAGTCAGATATTACTGCATGTCAACAAAAAGGAAAATTCCAACAGACCCAAAAATGCTTGGTTAGTTGAAAGTTTTCTAAAAAAAGAAAAAGTTCAAAGTAAAATTCTTCTTTGGAAAACGAAGAAAGGAACCTGACTACGAAAAAATATTACTAACGTGTGAGCCACACAGACTTCTTTTAGGAAAAAAGCAGGGATAATTGGTGATTAGCTCATATCTCTGCCAGCAAATACTAATAATGCAGTGTAAAGATGTTTCTATGTATCTAGTCAATAAGATTCCTAATTACATGCAATTTCAAAGTACAAGGATATCCAGCTCGATCTGAGTACAAGCTGTCAAATTCCAAATTAGTGCAGTCCAAACAAATGGCTATTTAACATATCGCAGTCATAACATGTTGAAGCAACCAATTTGTTAAAGGATAATCAGCCCAGCACTATTTTAAAAAAATATATTAACTATATTCTCATTGTTTTGTTTTCAATTACACCAGTGAATTTTAATATGAGCAGTTAATAACATCTAGCACCATGTATAAAACAATGCCTACCATATAACAAGCACTGAATAATAACTACTTAGCAAATGAACAAAAAAATGATTAATTTGAATAATCTAGTACAGTTGCAGCCGGCATAATCACATGTCTCAGCTGTATCTACAGGAAAGCCTAATTTATCCAACACTCTCAGGAAGTAAGGCAGTAAAATATATTTCCATTTGGGCACTTTCATTATTTTTGCTGGCAGTCTTTCTAAACTTTTTCATGTACTTCCTTGTCTCATCAAACATTACCAAACCCAGCCACGGAAAGATAGAACCAAGAAAACAGTTAATAATAATTAAAGGACCTAAAAGAAAAGACTCTAACAAAAACAAGTCTACTGTCTCTACAGAGGTTAAAACGGAAAATTATATACAACAAGAAAGAACAAGTTATTATGAAAAAGAACCACAAATAAATCTAGGAGGAGGAAGTTATTATGGTCTAAAGAAACCCAGTAGCTGGCTGGCTTAACAGTAGAATAAACACAACTGTAAGAACAAACCAGGGAAGACCAAGCCAAGGAATTTCCCCAGAATGCTATATATAAGTATGCAAAAAGTAAAATAAGTTTTTAAAAGTTATAGAGACTAGATCCAAAATTTTCAGGACTTAATAGTTCCCAAAGGAAAATAATAAAAGAAACAGAAGGGATGAAATACTTAACAGATTCAAAAAAAATTCCCAAAGATGGCCAGGCGTGGTGGCTCATGCCCATAATCCCAGCACTTTGGGAGGCCAAGGCGGGCAGAACATCTGAGCCAAGACCAGCGTGGCCAGCATGGTGAAACCCCCTCTCTACTAAAAATGCAAAACAAAATTAGCCAGGCGTGGTGGTGCACACTTGTAATCCAGCTACTCAGGAGGCTGAGGCAGGAGAATCGTTTGAACCATTTAAAATGTCTCCAGAAAGAATTACTATGATTCTTTTCATTAAATTTTTCACTAAAATGAAAAATTATCAAGTCGGGCATGGTGGCTCACGCTTGTAATCTCAGCACTCTGGGAGGCTGAGGTGGGTGGATGACCTGAGGTCAGGAGTTCAAGACCAGCCTGACCAACATGGAGAAACCCCCTCTCTACTACAAATACAAAATTAGCCAGGCATGGTGACCCATGCCTGTAATCCCAGCTACTCGGGAGGCTGAGGCAGGAGAATCGCTTGAACCTGGGAGGCAGAGGTTGCGGTGAGCCGAGATCGCGCCATTGCACTCCAGCCTGGGTAAAAAGAGCAAAACTCTGTCTCAAGAAAAAGAAAAGAAAAATTATCGTATATGCAGAAAGACACAGGAAGGAACCATCAGGGTGTAATTTGATATTCATGAATCAAATATTTATCACTGGAAAAATGATACAATTCCACATTTTATTGCAAGGAATAATCAAATGCTTTATGAAACTTAAGAAAGGAAGATCCCTACCAGTAGGTGAAACTGTGAAAAGGACTGAACTGGAAAAGGACTGCCTGACACATCCCCAGCAATGCAGCGGAAGGCAGCAGACACTGACAGATGCCCTCAGAATAGATGGCAAAAGTTGGCCAGGCACGGTGGCTCACACCTATAATCCCAGCACTTTGGGAGGCCGAGGCAGGCGATCACTAGGTCAGGAGACTGACACCATCCTGGCTAACACGGTGAAACCCGTCTCTACTAAAAATACAAAAAAATTAGCTAGGCATGGTGGTAGGTGCCTGTAGTCCCAGCTACTGGGGAGGCTGAAGCAGGAAAATGGCATGAACCCGGGTGGCGGAGCTTGCAGTGAGCTGAGATCATGTCACTACACTCTAGCCTGGGCGACAGAGCGAGACTACGTCTCAAAAAAAAAAAAAAAAAAAAAAAAGATGGCAAAAGTTTCAAGGCAACGAGCATCCTAGTACCAGAATGTTCCTTCTAACTCTGGCAGAAGGTGCTTAAATTCCAGTGACAAACACAAGAGATAAAGTATGAGCTACCAGAGATGAAAGTGTCAGCATCAAAACCTGCAGAATAGGATCACTAAGTGACAAGAAGGCACGGTGCCACAGTATAATTAGCAATGTTTTCTTCTTTCTTGGTGACATAAAATAATGTAAGCTTGGACTGACAGCACCTTAGATTCAGTGAAACATGAATATCTATCCCCTGCTTTAAGAGACTCTAACACATAAAAACAAAAGAGACAAGATACATATACTATAAAAAAGCAATACAGGCCAGCTGTGGTAGCTCATGCCTGTAATACCAGTACTTTGGGAAGCTGAGGCAGGCAGATCTCTGGAGTTCAGAAGTTCAAGACCAGCCTGGCCAACACCGTGAAACGCTATCTCTACTAAAAATACAACAATTAGGCCGAGCGTGGTGGGTCATGCCTGTAATCCCAGCACTCTGGGAGGCAAAGGTGGGCAGATCACCTGAGGTTGGGAGTTCGAGACCAGCCTGACCAACAAGGAGAAACCCCGTCTCTACTAAAAATACAACATTAGCCAGGCATGGTGGTGCACGCCTGTAATCCCAGCTACTTGGGAGGCTGAGGCAGGAGAATCACTTGAATCCAGGAGGTGGAGGTTGCTGTGAGCCAAGATTGTGTTCCAGCCTGAGTGACAAAGAGAGACTCTGTCTCCAAAAAAAAAAAAAAAGAAAAAGCAAAACGACAAAAATTCCTTTTTAACACCAAGTTCCCATACATTAATTTTTTTTTTTTTTTTTTTTTAAAGACAGAATCTCATTCTGTCGCCCAGGTCATGGCTCAATGCAGCCTCGACCACCTGGACAACTTCGACCTCCCAGGCTCAAGCAATCCTCCCACTTCTCGTCCTCCTGAGTAGCTGGGACTACAGGCATGCACCACCACACCTGGTTAATTTTTGTAGTTTTTGTGGAGACAGGGTTTTGCCATATTGCCAAGGATGGTCTTGAACTCCTGGACTAAACTGATGCAACCTCCTCAGCCTCTCAAAGTGCTGGGATTATAGGTGTGGGCCACCACACCCAGCCCTGACTTCTCAACAATGAAACTAAAATGGGGATTTTTTCAAGTAGAAGGCAGTGTCATCCTGAGGTAGAAGCCTGCACTACAGGCAATGACTAGGCTTAGGCTTCCAGCCTGACCTTGCAACCAGCACAAGGGTGCCCCAGCCTTCGTTCTTTAGGCTCACCCGCTGGGCATCCCTCAAGAGGTGCAATTGCCATTTGTGCCTTGAGACATTGGCACACAACATGCCTGTGTCTTGAATGGAAACATGCCCTAAAACCACAAGATGTCGACAGCAACCCATATAAGTCTATAGCGACTGCTCTATTTCTTCCAAAATGACAGGTTTCTCCGCATGGCTGGTTGCTAACTGAACCACGTTCAATGCTCACCCTCTCACTCTCTCTCTGCCTAAACCTCTTCATCCTTCCCTATCAAGACATTTGCCAATTTTATCTCACCATCTCTCTCAACTGAGAATAATATTCAGGTAAAATTAGGGCAGGCACAGAGTTTGAGACCAGCCTGGGAAACATAGCAAGATTCTAACTCTGGAAATATTTTTTTTTAATTAGCTAGGTGTAGTGGCACACCTCTAATCTCAGTTACTCAGGAGACTGAGGTGGGAGAAATCTCTTGAGCCCAGGAGTTCAAGGTTGCAGTGAGCTATCATGGCAACACAGCACTCCAGCCTGGGTGACAGGGAAAGACCCTATCTCAAAGAACAACAAAAAAAATTTTCAGGCAAAATTAAAGTCTCTATTGTTTTTTGAATTTGTTAGAGTATTTTTGTTTTCTTTTTTGTTTTTGATGAGACAGAGTCTCACTCTGTCACCCAGGCAGGAGTGCCATGGCACAATCCTAGCTCACTGCAACCTCCACCTCCCAGGTTCAAGCAATTCTCCTGCCTCAGCCTCCCAAGTAACTGGGATTACAGGCGCCCACCACCATATCCAGCTAATTATGTATTTTTAGTAGAGACGAAGTTTCACCATATTGGCTAGGCTGGTCTGAACTCCTGACCTCAAGTGATCCACCCGCCTCGGACTCCCAAAGTGCTGGGACTATAGGCGTGAGCCACTGCGCCTGGACTAGAGTTTTTATGTTTCTTGTGTGTAACTTTAAAGAAAAACAAAGCAGAATATTTTACATTTTTCTCTTTCAAAAATACTTAAATTCATTTTCTCTATAAGGACTTACATCAATTGCTGGAGAATGGGGAAGCCTTGTATTCTTACCAGAAAGAAGTTCCTCAGAAACCTATAAACTGCCATCTTTTAAATAAAGTACTGTAAAAAGAAGCTCTCTAGAAAAGTTATTAAAGAGAGAAATAATTTATGTAAGAAAAACAGCTAAGGCCAGGTGCGGTGGCTCATGCCTGTAATCCCAGTACTTTGGGAGGCCGAGGCGGGCGGATCACGAGGTCAGGAGTTCAAGACCAGCCTGGCCAACAGGCGGAAACCCCATCTCTACTAAAGATACAAAAACTTAGCCAGGGGTGGTAGTGCATGCCTGTAATCCAGCTACTCGGGAGGCTGAGGTAGGAGAATTGCTTGAACCTGGGAGGCGGAGGTTTCAGTGGGCCGAGATCACGCCATTGCACTCCCGCCTGGGCGTGACAGGGTGAGACTCCATCTCAAAAAAACAAAAAAGGAAAGAAAAACAGCTAAAAGCAAAATAGCTAAGTACAATATCAATTAACATTTTAAAAGCTTTCTTAAATAGCAAGTCACAAAAATGCTAACTCATATCAAAGAAAAACAAATGTAACCCCAGGATGCAAGGGTGGTAATAAACCACATTAATAGAATGAAGGGAAAAAACATGATCATCTCCACTGATACAGAAAAAGCATTGGACAAATTCAACACTGTTTCGGGACAGTGGTTCCCTAGGGTGTAAGGAGGCAGGGGAGAGGAGAGAGAAGGAGCCCACGAGCAGCTCTAAGTCATTCTGGTGATTCTAGTTTTCCTGCTGGGAGGGGGGGATCATGGATGCTGACTATTATAACTAGGTGGACAGACAGACAGGATGGATAGATGGATATATAAAACAGAATCAGGACCAAGCATAGACTAGTAATGAGAGTGAATTACTCATTACAATCATATCTAGTCCAATTCTAGGTACTTGAGGTCCAAAAGAAAAAGCAATTTTAAGAGCTTAACTAAAGAAACAAACTGCAGATTCAGAATTCTAAAATATGCTGGATTATATCTATAAAGTATAATGGTACTTTAGGTAGAATACACCAAGTTTTAACCCTTTAGGGATATCCTAAGGAAATGGAAATACATCTTTCAACCTTAATCAGAATGTTAAAATAAAAAAGTTTGAGCTAGCTCACCTCTTCTTGAATATACTGTAATAAGAAGGGAGATGCTCTTAAATTGTCAACAGGAATATTGAAGAAGCCCTGAATTTCCTTCTGGTGTAAATCCATAGTAATAAGATGAGTTAGACCTTTGAAAATAAAGCAGACACAAGCAATAAATAGTTTTGTTTTCTTTTTTTTTAAGATGGGATCTCACTCTGTTACCTAGGCTGGAGTGCAGTAGCATGATAATAGCTAACTGCAGCCTTGAACTCCCAGGCTCAAGCAATCCTCTCACCTCGGCCTTGAAAGTAGCTGGGAATACAGGTGCATGCCACCACGCCCAGCTAATTCTGTATTTTTAGTAGAGATGGGGTTTCATCATATTGGCCAGGCTGGTCTCGAACTCCTGACCTCAAGTAATCCTCCTGCCTCAGCCTCCCAAAGTGCTGGTAATACAGGCATGAGCCACTGCACCCAGGCTATAAATAGTTTAAAAACAAGTTGCACTGTACGAAATAGGTACTACATAAAATACTATATATAACAAGTTACTATTAAAAAATTGTTCTCTGCGGGGTGCTGTGGCTCACACCTGTAATCCCAGCACTTTGGGAGGGCGAGGCGGGCAGATCACAAGGTCAGGAGTTCAAGACCAGCATGACCAATATGAAGAAACGCTGTCTCTACTAAAAATACAAAAATTAGCTGGGTGTGGTGGCGTGTGCCTATAGTCCCAGCTACTTGGGAGGTTGAGGCAGAAGAATCACTTGAACCCGGGAGGCAGAGGTTGCAGTGGGCCACAATCGTGCCACTGCACTCCAGCCTGGGTGACATAGTGAGACTCTGTCTCAAAAAAAAAAAAAATTGGTCTCATGATCAGGCACCGTGGCTCACACCTGTAATCCCAGCACTTTGGAAGGCCAAGGCTGACAAACTGCTTGAGCTCAGGAGTTTGAGACCAGCCTGGGCAACATGGCAAAATCCCGTCTCTACAAAAACTACAAAAATTAGCCAGGCATGGTGGTGCACGCCTGTAGTCCCAGCTACTCAGGAGGATAAGGTGGGAGAATCACTTCAGTCCAGAAGGTCAGGGCTGCAAGTGGGCTGAGATCAAGCCACTGCATTCCAGTCTGGGTGATAGAGTGAGACCTTGTCTCAAAAAAAGAAAAAATAAGGCTGGGCACAGTGGTTCACACCTGTAATCCCAGCACTTTGGGAGACTGAGGCGGGTAGATCACCTGAAGTCAGAGTTGGGGATCAGCCTGGCCAACATGGTGAAACCTTGTCTCTACTAAAAATACAAAAATTAGCCAGGCATGGTGGCGTATGCCCATAATCCCAGCTACTCAGGAGGCTGAGGCAGGAGAATCACTTGACTGGGGGGCTGAGGTTGCAGTGAGCCAAGATTGCACCATTTCATTCCAGCCTGGGCGAAAGGGGGAGGCTCGGTCTCAAAAAAAAAAAAAAAAATTGCTCTACCATCAAAAAAACTCAGCACTTGTATTGTTCAGAATTTTATTTATTTATTTATTTATTTTTTAGTACTGTGAGATGCCTGATTTTCACATCAATTTAAAGTTTTGGCCAGGTGTGGTGGCTCACAGCTGTAATCCCAGCACTTTGGGAGGCCGAGGCAGGAGGATCACCTGAGGTCAGGAGTTCAAGACCAGCCTGGCCAACATGGTGAAACCCCATCTCTACTAAAAATACAAAAATTAGCCAAGTGTGGTGGCAAGTACCTGTAATCTCAGCTACTAGGGAGGCTGAGGCAGGAGAATCACTTGAACCTGGAAGGTGGAGGTTGCAGTGAGCTGAGATCATGCCACTGCACTCTGGCCTGGGCGACAGAGTGAGACTCATCTCAAAATAAATAAATAAATAAATAAATAATAGTCATGACATAACAAAGATAATAGTAATACAAAAGAGTCTTTAAAATTTCTATTAGAGCAGATCATATCTTCTTGAAGTTTCTTTAACAGGCATGGCAAAGCCCAATCTTAAGATAACAAGTCAGCCGGGTGTGGTGGCTCGTGCCTGTAATCCCAGTAACTTTGGGAGGCCGAGGCAGGAGTATCACTTGAGCCCAGGTGTTTGAAAATGGCCTGGGGAACATGATGAGACCTCATTTATACAAAAATACAAAAAAAACTAGTCAGGTACGTGGTGCATGCCTGTAGCTCCCAGTTACTCTGGAAGCTGAGGTGGGGGATCACTTGAACCCCAGGAGATCAAGGCTACCTCCTGGTAGTGAGCATGGTGATCACACCACTGCACCCTAGCCCGGGCAACAGCACTGAGATTCGCAGGAAAAAAAAAAAAAAAAATTTAAAGACAAACTGCACCAGCCTGGAAATTGGAGAAAACAGAAAATCTTCACTGCTTTGTAAAATCACCAGAAGTGTAAGGAAAATTCAATATGAAAAATTGTTAAAGCATTAACTTGCCCAAAAAGAACAGGAACGTAAGCCTGGTGGCCCATTCAAGCACAGGCTGGAAGAGAAGATAAGCCTTTCCCTGAAGATTCAGCAGGCAAGCCTGCTCCCCTCACCAGCTGCCTGTCATGGTGTTTCGATGGGATAGGCTCCTGACGTTGCTCGGTTTGAGTTTTTAAATTTTTTTTTTTTTTTTTTTTGAGATGGAGTTTTGTCTTGTTGTCCAGGTCGGAGTGCAAAGTGGGATCTCGGCTCACCACAACCTCCACCTCCTGGTTCAAGTGATTCTCCTGCCTCAGCCTCCCAAGTAGCTGGGATTATAGCATGCCCGCCACCACACCTGGCTAATTTGTATTTTAGTAGAGACAGGGTTTCTCCAGTTGGTCCAGCTGCTCTTGAACTCCCAACTCAAGGTGATCTGTCCACCTTGGCCTCCCAAAGTATGAGGATTACAGGGTGGAGTCACCGCACCCCCTGCCTAGTTTTTAAATTTTTTGTTTTACGTTTGCCTTTATTGAAAAAATATCTTAGGCCGGGCGCGGTGGGCTTCAAGCCTGTAATCCCACGCACTTTGGGAGGCCGAGACGCGGCGGATACAAGGTCAGGAGATCGAGACCATCCCTGGCTAACACGGGAAACCGCCGTCTCTACTAAAAACACAAAAAATTAGCCGGGCGAGGTGGGTGCGCCTGTGGTCCAGCTACTCGGAGGCCGAGCAGGAGAATGGCAGAAACCCGGGAGGGCGAGCTTGCATGAGCTGAGATCTGGCCACTGCACTCCAGCCCTGGGCGACAAAGCGAGACTCGTCTCAAAAAAAAAAAAAAAAAAAAAAATCTTAAAAATTTATTCTGGGCTGGGCATGGTGGCTCACGCCTGTAATCCCAGCACTCTGGGAGGCCAAAGAAGGTGGACCACCTGAGGTCAGATTCAAGACCAGCCTGCCCAACACGGTGAACCTCATCTTCACTAAAATACAAAAACTAGCCAGGCGTGGTGGCAGGCTGCCAGTAATCCCAGCTACTTGGGAGGCTGAGGCAGGTGAATTGCTTGAACCCAGGAAGCGAGGTTGTGTGAGCCCAAGATCCGCACTACACTGCACTCCAACCTGGATGACAGCAGTGAGACTGACTCAAAAATAAAAAAATAAAATAATAATCAATTAGACGGCATGGGTGGTGTGTGCCTGTAATCCCAGCTACTCGGGGAGCTGAGGCAGGAGAACTGCTTGAACCCAGGTGGTGGACAGGTTGCAGTGATACCAAGATCAACACTCTGCACTCTAGCCCAGGCAACAGAGCAAGACTCCCAAAACAAACAAAAATAGAGGCTTATTCTACAAATACCTGTTAAACAGTGTAGGGGACTTCTATTCACTTGTGAAATTGTCCCCATGATACGATACTTTCTAACATCACCTATACACTTTCGGCTGGGTGTGGTGGCTTCGTGCCTGTAATCCCAGCACTCCCTAGAGCCCATGCAAGTGGATCAACTTGATGTCAGAGAGTTCGAGACCAGCCTGGCCAACACAGCAAAACCCCATCTCTACTAAAAATACAAAAATTATCCCAGTTTTAGTGCAGCTTGGGAGGCTGCTAATTAGGAAGATGGCAGTGACTGTAGGCTGGGTTGCCAGAAAATATGGTGGCCTAGTCTTACTATTCAGGTGGGGTACTTAGACAACCTGAAGAGTACCCAAATTGGATTGTGTTTTAATGGACAATGGCTGTATTTTTTCCATGTTAGCAGGATCCTAATGAAAGCACCTGTTATTTTTAAGTTTCTAAGGGTCTAGTTGTTCAGAATCCCCAAGGATATTTCCTTAACCTCACTCAGTCACATTACAGGAGCCAGTGTAGCTGTGGAATTATCTTAGGAAAACTCAGCTTCTAAAACTATCCATGTAGTCAATCTGGGGGAAAAGCAAATACAATAATATATTTTTTATATTCATTAATTAAAAAAAATAACAAAAATTAGCCGGGTGTGGTGGCAGGTGCCTGTAGTCCCAGCTACTCGAGAAGCTAAGGTACAAGAATCGCTTGAACCCAGGAGGCAGAGGTTGCAGTGAGTCAAGGCGGCACCAGCACTCCAGCCTGGGCAACAGAACAAGACTCCGTCTCAAAAAAAATAAACAAAACAGAATAAAATTAAATAAAAAATAAAATCATAGGCCGGTACAGTGGCTCACACCTGTAATCCCAGCACTTTGGGAGGCCAGGCGGGCGGATCACCTGAGGTTGGGAGTACGAGACCGCCTGACCAACATGGAGAATCCCCGTCTCTATTAAAAATACAAACTAGCCGAGCCCGGTGGCGCATGCCTGTAATCCCAGCTACTCGGGAGGCTGAGGCAGGAGAATTGTTTGAACCCGGAGGCGGAAGCTGCAGTGAGCTGAGACTGCATCATTGCACTCCAGCCTGGGCAACAGGAGCGAAACTCCATCTCTAAATAAACAATAAAATAAAATCATATGCACTTACACAAGTGTGCAAACACACACAATGTATTGACACACATAACAATAATAACTATGAAGGTTAATTAGAAACACAGGAAAAATACTTAGGATGTTACCTGAAAATGCCTAACACAGAATAATATATATCTTTTCCAATATATGCCTATCTAGGCAGGCATGGTGGTATATGCCTGTAGTTCCAACTACACAGGAGGATCACTTGAGCCCAGGAGTTCAAAGATCATCCCACATAGCTTCCCAACGCACTGGGATTACAGGCATGAGCCACTGCGCCCAGCCTTTACTTTGATATTTCCAAGGTAAAAATAAAACTCCAGCAGGGTGTGGTGGTTCATGACTATAATCTCAGCACTCTGGGAGGCCGAAGCAGAAGGATCCCTTGAGGCCAGCGGTTCAAAACCAGCCTGGACAACATAGTAAAACCCCATATCTACAAAAAAATTTAAAAATTAGCAGGCAGGGTGGTGTGTGCCTATAGTCCTAGCTACTTGGTAAGGCTCTGGTGGACTGCTTGACCCCAGGAGTTCAAGTTGCAGTTAGCTATGATCATGCCACTGCACTCCAGCCTGGGTGACAGGGCAAGACCCTGTCTTAAAAGAGAGAGAATGAATAAATAAAGCTTCCAGGCTCCCAATTAATTGTGAAACATCTGCCATTCTTACCAGCTTTGCACATCATGGAAGCCAGCAATTTTGAGACAATAGAGCCTCTTTTTCTCATCTTGCACTGCTTGCTGTAAGGAAAGTAAGGTATCACGCCGATGATGCTCTTGGCACAAGAGGTCTTACATGCATACACCATGATCAGGAGCTCCATGATGGTGGTGTTCACATCCCTGTAACCAAGACACAGTAAATCTCATCAAGGGATCTACAATATAGTATTCCCTGTTCCAAAAAGTGTCAGCAGTGTGTTACTCATGCCTTTACATAACCCAAGGTGCAAGGAGGAAAAAAACCAACCAATAAATTCCTCTTTTCTCAGGCCTCCATAAGATCCCCCACCATCCGCTCTCAACTGACGACCCTACTTAAATACTCTGTTAGAGGAGCGTGTCCACAAGCTCCCACTATGTGCATCTGTGCCCCAGGAGTCGGCCTGCTCTCAGTCATCAGTCAGAGGAAATTGCCACGCCAGTGGCCCTAAAATTAATCCCTCCAAATGGCACACCTATGTCAGCAATTCTCCCTCCTCTCCTGCCTTCAGCACTGATTACCCATTGCATTGCCACAAACATTCTTTACTTCTATTAATGCGACTCACAACAATTCTTCCTCTGATCCCCTTTGCTGTACATCTCAAGAGAGTCATCTACACTATCTCAACTTATCTACTCTCATTCTCTCCCAGATAGTCCAGTGAAGCTTTGTTTTCGTAAAGGTCATCAGTGGCCTCCATGCGGCCACATCCACGTCACGGTCACTTGGCTTCCAGAATGCCCTCTCTGGTCTTCCTTCCACCCCGGTTTCTTTTGCTGTTCTTCTCTCCAGCCTCATGTCCCAGGATTGCTCATGTGTCCTCTCCTTCTGTTTCCTCTTGTCCTTTGGGCTTCTCATCTAATTTCACAACTTCATAGATGGTGGCAACTCTCAAATTTACAACTCCAGTCCAAACTTGAGGATCTGCCCCTCCCTCCCGCCCAGCCACACCTGGCGCTGGTCAGTTCCCACAGGCAGCTCACACCACTAAGGGCCTTGCTCTGGGTGTTCCACTGCCTGCAATGCCTTCCTCCCCACCTAGTCTCTCCCTAACTTCTCTGTCTTTTTCCAAATGTCACCTCCCCAATGAGGCCTACCCTGTCTGCCTCGCTCTGCCCTCTTGCCACCATCATCTCACCATGCTGTCCTTTTTTTTTTCCAAACCACTCATCACCTTCTAGATAATCTATTTTTTATTATGCTCACTGTATGTCTTCCTCCACCTGGAATATAAACTCCACAAGGACAAGGATCTTTCTCTGTTTTAATCATGGAGGCATCTCGAATATGTGTGTAACTAACTGTAACTCGATATTGTAGACATTCAAAATAAGATATTTTTAACGACAGGAGTGAATGGAAAACAGAACATTTGGGTGAGTAGGTTCTCTGTCACTATCCAACAAGTCTGACATCTGATGAGTTAAACAGACTTTCACCCTGTGTTAATTCACTTAGGGGAAAAAAAAAAAGATTTTCAGAAAAGTATTCCTATGGGAAGGATAAGAGTGGAGGAGGAGCTGACAGTGAAAGGTAAAGGACACCCCAAGGCTCCAACCACACTCCCAGGAGCACCATTGTTCTGTGAGCTGGAACAAGGCTTTCCATTACTGATACTCAAAATCTA